TAATTTGCCAGAATGCTCTTCGTATGACTCTTCAGACACACCAGAACGAATTGTTTGATATTGCGGACTGCTTCATTAAAAAGTCCAAAGACTCGCGAGAGAAGGTGCTGGATTGGTTTGCGCTGACTGTGAATGCAAACCACAAGAGAAGAGCGCTGCAAGTTGAACCCAAGACAGTGTCGTCCGATGGCTTCATGGTGAATATCACAGTGATCTTAGATCGACTGTGCGAGCCGTTCATGGACGCAACCTTCTCAAAGATCGATCGTATCGATGTTGATTATCTCCGTCGGTCTCCTCGTGTAGACATATCGGACGAAACAAAAATCAACGCCGACCAACATACCTCTGATGACTTCTACAAAGACAAGGCTGCAGGGACAGACAATTTCATCACGGAAGTATTCTTTTTGACCGTTGCGGCCCACCATTATGGAACCGAGGCTGCGAACACAAAGCTGTCACAGTTGCAGAAAGATGTCAAGTGGTTGGAGAAGCAATTGAAGAAGATGGAGACCGAGCGACACAAGTACGCCCAGGTAAGTCCTCCTTGGCCTCTGACGTGACAGACTCACTACTAATACTGATTTAGAATCCTGGTCAACTTGCCGTGTTCGACGCCCACGTTCAAAAGGCCAAGGACAGGCTTGCCAAAGGGAAGTGCACAATTATGGCCACCGATGGCGTGCTGTTGGACGAAGTCGCCCAAGCCAGGTCAATGCAGTTCATGCGATATGTCATTGTGTGGCTGTTGCGGCTTGTGTCCCCTGGCCTCGATTTTCCTCGTAACCCTCTTCAGCTACCTTTACAACAAGAGCAGCCCGCAGCTTTCAAATGTCTTCCAGAGTACTTCCTCGAGGACATCGTGGACGGCTTCAAGTTCATCACGGCTAAGATGCCCCTTATCATCACATCAACACAGTCCGAAGAATTGATGATGATCTGCATAGTCTTCCTCAGGAGCTCTGAGTATATCAAGAACCCGTATCTAAAGTCTGGACTCGTCACTATTCTCTACCATGGCGTTTGGGAAGTCCGTGGCCACAAGAAGGGAGTGCTCGGTGACGCTTTATTTGCACACAAATTTGCAACCAAACATTTACTTCATTCGTTGATGAAGTTCTACAGTGAGTGTGAGAGTACCGGCGCACACACTCAGTTCTACGACAAGTTCAACATTCGCTATGAGATTTTCCAGGTCATCAAATGCATATGGCCGAATCCCGTCTATCGTGAGAATCTCGCTACGGAGGCTCGGTAAATATCACATCTTTATAGAAGGTTATGTAAACTAACTTGGTATAGGGTCAATCTGGATTTCTTCGTTCAATTCGTCAACCTCCTCCTCAATGACGTCACTTTCGTTCTTGATGAATCATTTACGGCTTTCACTCAAATCCACGAAATATCCAAAGTGCTCAAAGCCCCGCCCGAGGACATGGATGCGAATGCTCGGCAGGAAACCGAGGAGAAGCTGTCGGCAGCACAGAGCAAAGCGAAGAGCTACATGCAGCTGACAAACGAAACAGTTGCCATGTTGAAGCTCTTCACGGAAGCACTGAGCGACTCATTTACTATGCCCGAAATCGTCCAACGCTTGGCCCACATGCTTGACTACAATCTTGACGCGCTTGTTGGTCCTAAGAAATCAAGTTTGAAGGTGGAAAACGCACAAGAGTATGGCTGGGACCCCAAACAAATGCTCTCCGAGATCTCGGACGTCTATCTGAACTTGAAAGAGAAGAAGACGTTCATCGACGCAGTAGCCACAGACGGACGCTCCTACAGACCGGAGCATTTCACGACAGCAATGAACATTATGCAACGTTTCGCTCTCAAGTCATCAGAACAACTCCAAGACTGGGCGCACCTTGCGGAGCGTATTAAAGTTGCAAAGGACGAGGCCGAACTTGAGGAAGCTGATCTCGGCGAAATCCCGGACGAATTTCTCGACCCTCTCCTTGCGTCGCTCATGGAAGATCCCGTCACACTACCTACAAGCAGTATGACTCTAGACCGCAGCACGATCCGGAGTCATCTCCTCAGCGACCCGAACGATCCGTTTAACCGCGTGCCTCTCACCATCGAGCAGGTGGTTCCCAATACAGCGTTGAAGGAGAAGATCCAAGCATGGAAGGCAGGCAAGCGGGCGGAGAAGTTGGCAGAGAGGGCTGCCGCGAGTGGGGTCGAGCCGATGGACACTTCATGAGTGATGATTGATGAGTATCTACAAACATAGCATAGACCAGGCGTCTCGACCACACAAACTCGGTGTCATGGCGTCTTCTTCGCTCGTAGACCGAGCGGCGGGGTTCCAAATTCTGTTGCATAGGTCTAGAGACAGTGCCTGTTATGCTTGACGGAATCGATAGCAGTTCTATCGTTTGCTCTTGATTGAAGGATTACAATCGACCTGTGTGTTATGTTTTGATTGTTAGCCACTATTCTAAGAATAGCAATTGATGGCCTTGTGTAGACTATGAATTACCCTTTCATTTGACTACGCGCAAGAATGGTTCTTGGAAGGACGTAGGACTAATCGTCTATGGTGCGGACTCCGAGCTCGGTTAGTTCATAGTAATGTAATCTACGATTCATAGTGTGTTCCATCGAAACGCTTGTTTATTCCACCATCCAACCATCTTCAAGATTTTTTATTTCCATCCACGGAGTCGTACAACTCCCCATCATTAGTCCTGTCTTGGCGGTACGCCTAAAATACCTTCACAAGTCGATCCTGTGTCTTGTTGCTGCCTGGAACACCTTCCTGTATATCATTCTGCCTTTCCCCGCGCGTCCATCTCGCATCTCCAATCCCAATCACACATCCAATCACCGCCCAGCCCAGATCACTCATAATGCCCGGCGACGAGCCCACCGCATCTAGCAAAGGCAGTTCCAATGCCAACGAGACGTACGCTCTCCCCGACCTCGAAGATATCCAGTGTCTGTAACTGATTCCTCTCTGTGGTATAGATGGTTGTTGATCAAGCGCGGCATCGATAAGAATCTGATCACGCCGTTTGGCGAGAAAGGAATGGATATGAAGGAGTACATGTCGTATTACACGGCGGTGCACGACTACTGTCTCGCGCGGATAGCTGCGATGCGGAACCGGGGTCGTACGTTACCCATCTCATCGTCACTTCCATCCTCTTTTGCTCGTGCTCAGTCGCCGATGACTGAGTTTTGATTGCAGAGCACCTCGTGGGCGAGGAACTCTACGATCTGTTCAAAGCCGAAGTCTTCGAACACCTCCAGAGTGTCCGGGAGCGTCTGGCGCAGTGCGAGGGCGACGAGCGGCTCAAAGCTTATGTTGAGCAGTGGCGGCAGTTTCAAGTCGCAGCTCAGCGGAACAGCAAGCTGTTGGATTATCTGAACCGACACTGGGTGCTGCCGTTGATAGATGAGACCGATGCGTATGAAGTGCTTGAGATATATCCGCTGCATATCGTGCTGTGGGAAGAGGTTATGCTCGATAGCACGCAAGATATTGTCAGGGAAGCTATGCTGGAGCTAGTGGAGAAGCGGAGGGGCGGGGAGAGCGTTGACGAAGGGCTTGTGAAGGACATTGTGGATTCTTCGGGTATGTTTTTGTTCCCTTGGTACTTGGACACCAAGCTGATCGCGCCAGCCATCGACGAGAAAGACGCCACCAAGCGCGTCCCGGACGTATATCAGCTACTTCTTCAGGACACCACTGCTCTAAATATCACAGAAAGAGATGGGCACATACTCTTGAAGGCGGCGCAACTCGGCTACAAGGCCACAGTCGGATTTCTCCTCAACAAGGGTCTGAACGTGGACCTCGAGGACGCCGATGGCCGCACACCGCTTTCCCATGCTGCCCAGAACACAGACGAGGATCTCGTCCTGCTTCTCCTCTCGCATGGCGCCAGCATCAACGCCCCAGATCACAACGGCAAGGTGCCGCAGTCCTGGGCATTCAGTCCCCCGCGTCACCGCATAACATCGTACTTTTCCAAGACTGTGTTACCCAGATTCATGCGTCTGCTGCTCGAGCGGGGCGCCGATCCAAGGGTCAAGGATGGGAGTGGAAGGACGCCGGTCGAGTATGCGAAGGAAGCCCAGTTTGCGGGCGTGGAGGTGCGAAACATGCTGATCAAGGAGGTGGTGCGGAGGGATGCCGGGAGGGAATAAATACCTCGATAAAGGTTGTTGTGCTGGATGAGTCTGCGCTACAGACTTATGCCGAGCATGTAGATAGGCAAAGAGCGAAATTTGGACGTGGTGTGTAGGCTATGAAATCGGATGACTGCTTTGAATGGAAAGACTGGTTGGCGTTGGCTGAGCAGCAGAGAGGAAGAGAGAGAGGGAGAGGAAGAAGAATAATAACTTGTTAGAAAGGGCATTCACGGGTACTTTGAGATCGAAAGACCGTGGATATTAGAACAAATCCAAGGGTTATACTGCATTTCTAGCACTCGATCTAGCGTAGGACCGTACGTTATTTGCAACGAAATCCAAGCAAACGAAGGCCTTCGGGTATTCTAACGGAGGTGGGGGGGGGGTAACATTGATCGACTTCTCGCCACTTTTTAGAGGCGGGAACGAATAGATCAGGTGGATTTCAACACACAAACTGGAGACTACTAGTCTTAGCTTTGCCAACCCGGTATTCTCAGATCCAGTGAGCTTCTGAATATATGAAGGAGTTAGGGTTTATTGAGTACTATCCTGTAAGGCGATTCTAGTTGGAGTACAAAAGAATGAGGGGGGCCTATAAAGCATTCTTGTGGTTGCCCGATACATACGTACTGCTTAAGAGTCCCCAGATGACTTCACGACGCTTGGTTACTGGCTCCTTTGTAGGGGAACAAGAGGTGAAAAGTTGCGCGGGATTTCGCAGTACTGTACTAGCAAAAGTAGGGGAGTTTACGCTCTACCGCGCACAAAAAGAAACTCGTCGTCAGCTTTCTCCCTCGTACTTGATGTACATACAGGCAAGAATGGAAGCGCAAAAATAAAATCAATAGATCGGGCCTGACCGGGATTCGAACCCGGGGCCTGTCACATTTTAGCCGCAAAGCAGCCAGGCGTTAAAACCCGAAGCGACAATCATACCACTAGACCATCAGGCCGATTTGCTATTCTGATGAATTTTGACAGTTTTGAAACATAGTCAACTTATATCCTCAGTACTCTCATGGTCGCTCAGCGATCTTGGAAGTGAAATGTGAGATTCGTCGCTTACTGGCGGGAGCTAGTTCACATCCGTGGGGACAACGCCTGATCTTGCCGGAACGAGCACACCTTGCGATCATTCGATCCATGTCAACAGTTTCAACGACGCTCGCGCTACAAGTGTTGAACTGCCACTCGATAACGCGGTCTCCAGTTTTCCTTTCCCACATGGCCTACCTCATGAGGTTGGGGCGTCTCGTTATCTCGACTCGACGCTTCGCAACCCGAATCCAACGTCTCGCATGAGCCGCGATTAAAACACCGTGGAAGCTTCCGCCGTTTAGAAGGCCCCGGGTCACGTGCAGTGCAAGGTCCCGATAAGCCTGTGTCTTCACGCTCCCGTCAATTGGTTGAGATAGCACGTGAATCGGAGACTTCCAGATATTGTACCCCTTGTAGTAATACCACCTATGCTCCGGCTGTTTGCGTGCCAGTGGAGACCCGAACGTCTCACGAAACGCACAAGCACTCGGCAACCGACTGCACTCCCTCGCCCACGTCCCCGATATCGCCGAATCGAGTCCCCCTGACACAATGGCCGTGCACTCAACACGTCTGGGAGCACCACACCGACTTTTTATCGCGACGAGGGCTGCGAGACTCGGCCGCGTCTACCCCGTGCCTCGCTGTCAAGGCACGGCCAGAGTGAATCGACTCTGCTGAACGCCGCAAGAGCAGGCTGAATTGCCCGCTTATCACGTTGAGATGCTTCATTTCTGGGTGTCCAGAATGCGGGGAAAGGTAGATTTGGCCGTAGGCTGGAACGAGCTAGTGGGGCACCGATGTTGAGCGGCCCAAGCTCCCGCGTGTTGCTTTGTGGTCGAACAAGGCGTTGCACGAACAACTTATCCAGTCGTCCGCCCCTGTAGAACCGAGATCACTGCTGTTTATGAATCAAGTCGTGGCTGGAGCCCGGCTCACGCCAGTCCCATTGCCCATTGACACGGCGACATTTGTTGACCGCCTCGGAGCGCCAACATATCCGAACCCATTCCACACTCCCTCTTCCTGCCATCCCCCTTACATTCATCTCTCAACCCCGAGCACCCCTCTCCAAGCACCTCTCCAGAGCATCCCTCCTATTTAATCACGCTACTAATCTCTACTCTCTTCCCTCTTCTTTTCTGGCCTTCCCCGCTCTTGTCAGCAGTCCCGCGTCGTCCCACTCATCTCGTCATGCAGGCTTCACGAGCATCCTCGCGCGTCCTCAGGGCCGTTGCTGCGGGCAGCAAGCAAACCCGAGGTCTGCATATGACCGGGTCGGCTACCTATTCCAACCTCCTCAACTCTGAACGACGAGCGTTGAACCTCCCCCGGGACATTGCTGGCCTGCAGGCCGAGTGCCAGAAGCGCAAGCTCCCGACAGTCGGTTCAGAAAACGAGGTACGTACTTGCCTGACAACAATGAACGAACAGCAAACTATCAATTGAGATGCATATATTGACAAATATCGACAACCAGCTTCTCAACCGCCTCACTGCCCACGAAATGGCCAGCTCGCGCGCCTTCAGCACCGCAGTCCGCGCGTCGAAACGCCCCACCACTCCGTCCGCGAGCGCTGGAACCCCAGCCCGCCATTTCAACACGAGCCGCACTCTGAAGGCTGTCAACGACACCTCGACTATCGACTTTGCCTACGTTCCCGACTTCGACCCGGATGCCGCAAGCGCGCCCATCGTCCGCGTCCCCATCCTCCCACAAACAACCCCATCGGAGATAAGCAAAGCGCACACTGCTGTGGATGTAGATGAAGAGGTGAGCGACTATCCCCGCAGCCGTTCCCTCATGCATGCCAGACTAACACAGTCCAGACCATGCTCCCTACCATCGTGACGGTCGCGGCCGACGGAACCCATATCCACTCGCCCTCGGCCTTGGCCGAAGCCGCCGACATTGATTTCCAGGGCATAGCCGCCAAGTTCGCAAGCACTTTCAGCGGCCCTTCTGATCCGAAGGACCCCGGCATGGCTCGTGAGATCTGGTCCGGCTTCGTCGAGGATATCCTCGGCCCCAAGTCGCAGAGTGGCCCCAAGGCCTAGATTATATCTACGTCGTTCTTCTTGTTATTCCATGCTGCTAAACCTGCCATGGATCTCGAGTCGATAGTGTAGAACTTCTCATTAGCCTTCCAGGGGCAGAGCGATGTAAGCAGGTTCCTAGCGGGTCCGCGTTGTTTCGACCATGCTTTGCTTTTATTTCGTCGCGTTTAATGTTTGGGGTGTTTCTGAGGGGGATTTTGGTCCGGGCTTGAAGTGCTCGAGCTTATGAGACATGAAATTCTATTGCAAACTTCCTCCGCTTGGGGTCGTTTTGCGCGTTCCGCAATCTTCTTGCCTCGCGTCGCGTCCTTTGATGATGTAGCTGTGCCGGTGCTCGGAGGTGAATGTGTTGCGTCGATATATCAGGTATCTCAATGGACGCCACAGCTACGTGTTCTAGATGTCTGTCTGCGTCAGATTGAGATTGCGGCGGGGGTTGAAGATCTATCTACCTGGAAGGCACGCCAGAACGGCTCGGCGGCGGATTAGCAGAAACAAAGCCTTCTGCGGTCCCCTTGTTATTACCATCCGGGTACATAGACGGTCAGAGAGCACAGGTCCACTGCCCTGGAAATCTCGTCGACGGGTAGGTAGTCATCTGCATGTTCATACACCGGCCCCTCTTCCACCCATCGTCCACTTCTCCAGGAAGCCTTGGAACAAGGGGGAATTGAGACGCTACATGTAGGACGGATGGAATCGTATGCCACGAATACGTTCTTTGCAGGCCTCGTATTTAGAGACCTCGACATCCTCTACCTCTTCAAAGCCATTCTTTCCGAAAATATATTCTCAGAGTGGTGGCAAATCAGACCTAGTTATGCACCTTGTCCTATTGCTTCCCGGGTCTAACTTGGACGATGACAATATCTCCACGGACAGAAGTCTTAGTAATTCGGTGATATGCATATTGTCCACTAATCCATAAGACGGGAATAACATAGTCAAGTATTGTTGTCGGGCAGGATCCCGGTCCAGGCCCTCGTTGAACTATATGGTCCTCTGCTTACATCTTTGGCCAGGCCTTCTCTTGTCATGGCGAATATATCGAGGACCGGTTTTCTAGTTGAGCTCGTCGGACCAGATAACCTTCCAGTCTGTCCCATGAGGCCGTAGTTGTAATTGAAGTATACACTATTGTACGCGCTGCTCTCTTACACGCTTTGGGTGATCCTCTTCAACGGCAGCTTTGTGGGTATTGATGCTAGAGACTGCAGTAACATGTTTTGGGATAGTTTTCCTTGTGTATCCCTTCATCTCTTTGGCCTTCTTTTCAAGTACAACACTAGTAGTCTCAACTGGTTCTTCCTATGTGTTTCCCTTCTCTTTAAAAGGGAAATTATTCATGTCGGTAGAAATCGCGTTGGCTTACCTAAGCTTTCTAACTAGTGGCTTTGTGATGTTTACCGTGGGACATTTTCCAAGAAAAATATAGGACAGGGAGGGCCGAGTGTATAACAAATCCAACAGTATCATTAAGGACTTTCCAACGTGACAATGCTTGGTGGCTACACTCATGATTTATGACCCAAAGGCTAGGCTCAACAAGTCCGTTCATAAAACCATAGAGTGACTGGAGAGGACCGCGGGCCCATATCAAGGCAACGTTGCGTGGCGTATGGAAGAGTTGAAATATTCAAAAATCTTTTAATAGTGTGGCAATGTCCCTCATGATATATATAAAAGAGTCCGCGCATCGCGCTCAGCTCAAAACATTGGGTTAGAATAGCTTTACGAATATCCTAGATGGTGTAATCTAGAAGCTTGTGAAAATATTGCCATTGGTATCTACCATTGCCATCGTATCTCTGAGCTGCGGTAGATTAAAGACGGAGCCAGAAGCCCGTCGACTCATACACAATGCTCTCTTTCACTCCGGCTCTCTCATCAGCCAATTACCTCCCCACAACAACAAATCTATGTCATCACTGTGACTCATGCTCTATTTTACTACCCGTTTATCTCCCTCTACAACAGGCAAAACTCCTTACTGTATATATATAATATAATTTCAAAGGAATACCAAAAGAAGCCCACCACCATTTGCGCGGATTAACGCGATCAACATTTCGTGGCGCTGCGGGAAAGGCTGGGAAATTGGATACGCCTTGCGGATAGTCTCCCTTGGAAAACGTTCCTCAATGGACTAACGCGTGTGGTCTCTTACTGGCAACGGCGGGAGACAATGGGCTTCTTTTTTTTTTTTTTCTGAAAGTCGAGTGTTGGAATCACGTAGGCGTTATTCTTTCTCCTCCTTTTCTTAGGGGACCCTTTCTTTTTAAATGGGGGATTTTCTTTTGGAGGGGCAGGTTAAAATTTTAGTAAATTTTTAGCATAAGTAGCA